TGACAGCAGGGTGTGGCTTCTAGTTGAATCTTGGATAGCATGGCCTCACAGATGCTGAGTTTCACATGTGTGCAGTGGTTTTCAGGCATCCTCTTTTTTTTTTTTTTAAATGGAAGAGTCCACTTTAAACTAAAGAGCTCAACATAAAATTGCTTCCAGAGTAGCCCATTGGGGAGAGAGAGAAGCAGAGAGCTGTGGTTAGAGCAGAGTCCCGGGCGAGCTGCCCCACCTTGTATACTTCCCTCCTCCTGGCCAGAGCTCCCAGGGGCAGCTAGGAGCCCACTGTATACACCGTGCCACCTGGGGCATCAGGCAAGACACAGGCCAGTCTGGGTGAGAAGTTGTATCCAGTTGGTACTCTGGGGCCTGCCCAGAGTTTATCCTGGCTACCTTCCCAGCCTGAGGCCCTCTGGATGCAGGTTGCTTGGGGCGGGGGTGGGGGTGGGGGGAAGAGAAGGGCCATGGCCTCAGCGGTCAGGGTGCATTCCCCTGGGGGGTCTGCAAGGGGCCAGATGGGGACCTGATCACAGCTGCAGAGTGTGGGCCTTCTGCTCACACCTGTGCAGGGTTCTGAGGCTTGAGGCTGTGGGATGGAGCCAGAGATGGGCCCAGTGCAGTGACTCAGATTTTCTCTGCAAGGCAAAGGGCCTCTGAAAGAGTATTACAGCGGCCTCATCAGCCAGAAGCGTTTCCAGCACATCCGGGTCTGTACTCCGTGGCTGGAGGCTGAGGACTACCCCCTGCTTCTAGGTAAGGGCATCCAGCAGGGAGAGAGCTGGGGTTTAAAAGGGAATATTCTAGGATAGGGCAGGGACAGAGTTTTTCTGAAAAGGACCAGATAGTAAATGTTTTATTTGCTTCTGTTGCATAGTCTTCTTTGTTTTTGTAATCCTTTATAAATTAAAAGCCTTTCTTAGCTCCAGGGCCATACACACACAGGCCTCAGGCTGGACTGGGACCTGCTTAGGGACTATGTGGGGCCAGGAGATGCCACCTGCCAGGAACCTGTCGGAGGAGCTCTTGGCTGAACTCTAGGGGACCAGGCTGCTTCCTGATGTGCCGGCTTCTCCCGCCTGCTGGGCCCCAGACCTGTTTGTCGGGGTTCTGTCCTCTCAGCCTCTGAGCCCTCCATTCAGTCCTACTCTTCCATCTGGGCAGGAGGGCTGGGCCTGGTTTTGGGTTGGGGTTCCCCAAGTTCCCCAAGTCTGGGAGGGCAGTGGCTTGGGAGGTGCAGAAATAATGCGTTAAACAGCATTGACTCTCCTAGACCTCTCCATCTTCCTCCATCATTCTCTCTCCGGAGGGGCGTGCTGGCCTAGTGCTGGCAAATCTCTAAGGCCTCATCTTCCAGTGAACAGTCTCGAGTGGAAGGCCTTGGGTTGGCAGGAATTTCCAGCCAGGATTTATGCGAAGTTGTTTATTTGGCTTTATTTTCACAGTGACAGCTGCTTTTCTGTTGGGTCTGCTATGGGTTTTCCCCCCTAATTATTGTGGTAAAACACCATTATAGTACAAATTTGCTATTTTAACTATTTTTCCATTTTTAAGTATACATACAACTCAGTAGCATTAATTACATGCACAGTGTTGTACGATCATCACCACTGTCTATTTCCAAAACATTTTCATCACCCCAAGCAGAAACTCTGAACCCCTGAAGCAATAACCACTACAGGTTCTTTTAAAATATATCGTGGTTAAGTAGACAAAGGGAGTCTGTTTGAATAAAACTATCCGTGATGGGCAGGTCATTTTCAAACAGGGACGAGTGGCCAGGAGTGGTGGTTGGGGAGCTCTTCTGTGTGTCTCCCCTTCTCCAGGCTGCTTGCCCAACTCAGCCAGTTGTATGTGGGGCTGGGGGCTTTCCCTTCCTGACCCTGAGGTGTCGATCCACAGTCCTCTGAGGATTTGTGTTCAAGGGGTGCATGGGCCAGCACTCTGACTGCCCCCCTTGCCCCGACCCTGCAGGGTCGGCAGACCTGGGTGTGTGCCTGCACAAGTCCTCCAGCGGCCTGGACCTGCCCATGAAGGTGGTGGACATGTTCGGGTGCTGTCTGCCTGTGTGCGCCGTGAACTTCCGGTGGTAGGAGCAGAAACCAAATCTTCCCTGAGTTAGGTTCTCAAATCAGCTGTGGGGGTGGTGGGGGGTTGCCAGCGAGGTCAGAATTGCTCAAGGAATTCCTCCGGAAAATCGTGCAGCATTGCCAGGTGGTCTTCAGGAGTAGGGCCCGTGGGGTTTCTGAAGGTAGGCTGCACCATATTAAAGGAGTGGGCTTCCACCTAGAGCTGATGTTGAATAAAAAATACGAGTCTTAAATACTCCACTTAGGCGGCCACTTATCCATACTCATGGATAGAGTGGTGGCTGGAATTGCTCGCACAGCTGACCTGGTTTTATTTCTCTCTCTGTCCCTTTTGTCTGGGCTCATATAGCTGGATTGGAATCAGTTAAATGAGTGTAATTCTCTTTCCACTGTTCTTGGCAAAGATGGGTGTTTGGAGAGGTTCTAGAAATGGTAGCCCCACCACTGGCTCAGGAGCCAGCCTCTGAGTGGGAAATACAGGATGTTCGACCCTGAGCTCTGGGCACGTTGGGATTAACTTCCTGGTGACCCAGAAAAGTCACCCTTAATGTGCCAAGTCTACCTTCAGTGTGGTTTCCTTTTACCTTGTTTTTCTGCTGTGCAATTAAGGAAAAAATGGAGAGCCCATTGAGCATGTTCTCACGGAAAAGAACATGTAGCAGAAAAGGTCAAAGTGTGTGCTCATTGCACCTCCTTCTCAGAATCAGTTTGGATTTTTAATGTGTATCCATCCCTCCAGGCCTTTTTTTTCTATTCAGATGCCAAATCTAAGAACAGACTGACTGTGGGAGGGGTGGAGTGGGAGTTGGGGCAGGCACCGGGGGTTTTCTCCAGGCAGCTCTCAGGTCTGTGGTTCTCTCTGCAGCTTACACGAGCTCATGAAACATGAGGAAAACGGCCTGGTCTTCGAGGACTCCGAGGAGCTGGCAGCTCAGCTGCAGGTAGCCACGTCTGCCCCCACGCCAGGGCGCTGAGTTCCACCCCAATTCTTTGCTCCTGTGGCCGGGTGGGTCTGTGCTGGGTCTGGGTGAAAGTTGAGGCGGGGAGCAGTGGTCTCAGAGGCTGGGCCTCCGTGGGCTTGGTGTGTGTGGGGGGCCCTGAGTGCCCTCTGGGTTTGCGGAGCTTACACCACACAGATGATGCCAGAGGTGGTGGACCCTGTGCACGGTCTAGGGAGCAAGCGACTGGTTCTGTGGGAGAGTGAGTGAAGGGAGCTTCGTGAAGCAGCCTTGCAAGGGGACAGGTGGGAGTCTTCAAAGGGTACTTAACACTTATTATAAAAGATGTGTTCATCATCATTCTTGGCAGATGAGACCAGGGACAGCAAACTTTCTAGAAAGGCCCAGATAGAAAATGTTTTCAGCTTTGCCATAGTCTCTGTCAGAAGTACTCAACTCTGGGGCGCCTTGGAGGCTCAGTTGGTTGAGCATCTGCCTTTGGCTTGGGTTGGGGTCTTGGGATTGAGCCCCATGTCAGGCTTTCTGTTCAGCGGGGAGTCTGCTTCTCCCTTTCACTCTCCCTCTGTGCTCTCTCTCTAAATAAGATCTTTAAAAAAAATAGTACTCAACTCTGCTATAACAAGAAAGTGGCCACAGTCTAGGAGTGAAGGGATGTGGCTCTGTTCCAATAAAACTGTACTTGCAAAGACAGGTGGAGACCGTATTTGGCCCATGGGCTTAGTTTGCAAACACCTGATGTAGTTTAGCAAAGCTGGAAAGAACACAGACTGTCTAGTTCCAGCACGTGAGCTGAACAGTGGTGGGCAGAGGCTGAGGGTGGGTGCTCTTGGTGGACGGAACAGCGCAGCAGAAGCCAAGGGCTGCTGTAGGGTGTGGTATGTGGATGGTGTGGATGGAAAATGCCCCAGTCTGGTTGCACTGTCCAGTAGGAGCAGAGTAGGGGATGGAGTGTGGCTGGAATGTGAGGGCTCTCCTATGCCCTGTGAGGAATGGGCTTGTTGGGTCCAGGATATTGGGTTCAGAATGTGTTTGAGCCAAGCTTGCTGTGGAAGCTGGCCCAGAGCGGGAACTCTGCGGGCTCCAGGACACTGGTAGTGGTTCTTGAGGTGCAGTGACAGAGGGTTTCAGTAGATCACTGGCCTGACTGCCGGTATTTGGAGGGGGACAGGAATCTAGCCTGCTGGGAAGGAGGGACAGCTTTCGGGTGGGACCTGGGATAGGGGTGGGAAGCAGTTGATGAGGTAAGTTCTGGTCTTTATTCTTCTAGATGCTTTTTTCAAAGTTTCCTGATCCTGCTGGCAAACTAAACCAGTTCCGGAAGAACCTCCGGGAGTCAGAGCAGCTTCGTTGGGATGAGAGCTGGAAGCAGATGGTGCTGCCTTTGGTTATGGACACGTGACCCCTTGAGCCAAAGACTGAGTGCTCCTGAGCATGTCCCAGTTCCTCTTAGCCCTGGGCAAACGCTTTAGAACAGTGCCTCCCCGTGGACAGCAGCTGGAAGGACAACTGTGGAATGATATTTTTTAATGACCTAGTTTGTGGCCCAGGAAACTGGTTCAGCCTGGTTTCCTCCCTGGAGGCTCTGAATCTTAGACTCTTCTGACCTGAATGTTTCCTTCTCCCCACTATATTACCTTCTTGTTATTTGCTTGTGGTATCTTCAATATCTCTTTGACCTGCTTTTGTCTTACGGTGTCTGCCTTTCCCAGCATCTGCCCCATTGTGTGTCTGATATTTTCATTCCTGTCTTGAGGACAGGTCCTGCAGTTGTAACGTGTACAATGGGCTTGGCTTCCTGAGGGATGTGGGTACAGGCTCGGGGGTGGGGTAACATACTTGATACATGTTTTTATTTTCACAAATGAAATGCTTATTTCTGAGCCAAAATTTTCATTTATGATTTATAGAGATTTACTTAAGAACCAGAACTAGTGACAGAAAGGGGCACCCACTTGAATAGTTTATATTTTATTAGAACACAGTTTGCAGTTCCTGATTCTGAATTTAACATTCTTCAAGCATTCAGGTCCAGTGAAAATTTTATTTTTTGCTACATGAAAATTCTTTCCAGGATGGTGATTTAATTTTTATGTTAATCTTTAAAAACGTTTGTAAACCTACAGAATTAGTTTCAAAATTGCCATGTCTAAGTGCTCTTCATAGGGAAACAGCTTCTGGTTGTGATGAGGCACTGCTTCCCATGGGATCCCAGTCTGGCCTGGAAATACAACATATGTGTCTCAGGATGGTAGGGTTTGGGGACACGACACCAACCTTATAGTGTGGGGCTGCAGGACAGGCTGGAGGGTATATACAGACCACAGACTTCTAGGCCCCATCCACACACCTAGAATCAGTGTTCAGGGATGGGACCAAAAATTGAGTTTTTAAATGGCCCATGGCAGCCAGGTTTGCTGCCCCTGCCTTCTGGGCCCTGGAAGGTCACAGACCTGGCTGGGTTTCCTGATTACTCAGCCTGGCGCCTCTTGGCAAAGGCTGGACATACATCAGAAGGGCTTACATTGTTTTTGTAAGCACAGCTGTTTGAAGAGCCCTTGGCAAGGAGCATTTTATTACCAGTTTTTTATGAATGAAAATAATTACAAAAATGAAATATTAAAAGTATTGAAGTGTTGGGGTTCTTGGCTGGCTCAGTCGGTGGAACATGCGACTCTTGATCTTGGGTTCATGAGTTCAAGTCCCACGTTGGGCCTAGAGCTTACTTAAAAAAAAAATATACACACGTGTGTGTGTGTATGTGTGCCTATAATCCTGCCACCAAGTACAACAACTGCTAATTGGTTATGTTCTTTCAGATTTTTCCCTGTATGCATGTTAACATGAAGACGATTATTTTTAAAAATACAAATGGGCTTGGGGTCCCTGGGTAGCTCAGTTGGTTAAGCATCCATCTGTTGATTTCAGCTCAGGTCATGATCTCAGGGTTATGAGATCGAGCCCCATGTTGGGCTCCCCACTGGGCACAAAGTTTGCCAAAGAAACACCCTCTCAAAAAAAAAAAAAATTCTCCCTCTAAAAAAAATTAAATAAAAATGGGCATATATATATATATATATGGTGTTTGGTACTTTGCTTTCTTAAACTACAGTGTATTTTTCATATAGTATCTGAAGGAGGACTTCATTCTTTTTGAAAGCTACAGGGCACTCTGTCCATGGGACACGGGCACACGTAGGGGTTGTTTGCCTGCAGAGGCGACTGTCGGTGGGGCTGTGCTTGGCGGGGGGGGGGGGCGGGTTGTGGCAAACATGGTCCTACACTGTGGCCAGGCTGTGTGTGGAAAGCCCTGGTTGGGCCTGGCGCATGGCGGGCACTACAGGGCTGTGGCCAGTGGTTGTGGAGTGGGAGAGTGGAGGGCGGGTGTTGGCTGCCTGGCTCCACTCTGGAGCTCAGGCAGTCATTAGCTCCCCTGCACCCCAGAGTTTCCATGGATGAGACTGGAGGATGTGACAGCATACCCATCCCTGGTGCTAGAGGGGCTGACATGTCAGGTCTGAGGACAGTGCCTGGCCACAGCGGTACCTGGCGACAGCAGTGCCAGTTTGGGGTGTAAATGGCAGAGCCCCCCCCCTCCAGAGTCCTCCCTGCTTTTCTTCCATTTACTGGGTGCTTAATACAGCGATAACAGCAGCTACCATGTTCCCAAGTGCTCCCTGCATGCCAGTCCCTGGGTCACGTCCCAGGTGGATGTTTCCGCTGTAAAGATGAAGACGGGGAGGTGAGTGGCGGCCCAGCTTCACCAGCGCAGGTGGGATCTGCTCCAGAGCCTGCACCGCACTACTGTGTGGCCAGAACTCATCTACCCTGACACCCACTGGCATCCACCATCCTCTCCTCTCTGTTCTACAGACCAGGAAAACAGGTCTGAAGGCCCTTGAAACGTGCTCTAAACACACAGTAGGACTGCTGGTCTCTGACCTTTAAGACTGCTGCATAAACTGCCTCTTCCCCTTCAGAGCATAGCTCCCTGGCCCAGCCTCCTCCGCTGACCACCCAAGGGGTGGGTAGTGGGTCGAGGACCCAGCACGTCATGTGTTCTGGAGTCCTGTGTGGGGCCCAGGTAGCCTCGCAGAGACAGCAGCCCCTCCCGGGCCCATGGCTCACCTAGCTCGTTGGTGAACAGCCAGCAGGTCTCAGGGCTGCGGACGGTGAAGGCAATGTAGGCTTCAGGAGCCTGCTGGTCTTTCAGGCAAGCAGAGAGCCTCTGCAGGACTCTGACCAGGGACATGACAGTTTCTGGGCAATATAGCACATCTGCAATGAAAAATCTCAGGTTACCGAAAGGGGCTCACTCCAGGATTTAGGATCCAGAAAAGAGGGTGCCTGGTTGTACTGACCTCAGCAGCATGGCTGGGGCCTGGAAACCAGTTTTATTAGAATCATGCCATTGGACACAAAGAAGATGATGTGGTTAAAAAGGAAAACTCTTATGAGAGAAAAAAAAGCTGCTGAAAGACCCTGCAAGAAATGGAAAATATCCAGGACTCACTGGTGTTCCTTTAAAAAAAAAATCGATTCTTTGCCTATGGTCTATTTAGAAGACGCTTAATGAAATAAACCCCAACCAGCTCTCTGTCTCAGAGTTCTTGCTTCCAGGGGCCTACTGTTCTGTTAGCTACACTGGGGGACAGGGGAGACAAACTTGCTCCCTGTCAGCATGCTTACATGGGAGGGTGCTGCTCAGGCTCTGTGTTCTGGCTACTGTGGGCCTATGGGTCTCAGGGCTGTGGTCCAGGATCAGAGGCACAGCACTGTCAGCTGGACAGGGGACTGAGTGAGCTTGGTAGGGGACTGGGTGAGCTTGGTGGAGGACAAGGCGGCTGTTGGCCAAACACCCCTTGTCTCAAGGACTCTGCCTTGCACCCGAAGTGGCTGGTCCCCTCCCTCCCCCTTTTATTCCCTCAGAGATGAGATGTGGGGCTCATCTCTGAAAGACACGGGGGCATGGACCTAGGATAGAGACGTGCAGGCAGAGCCCTTGGGGTCAGATGTGCAAACATCAGACAACAGAGCCATATGCAGAGATAGAAGCAAGTGCTCACAGGGGTGGGGGCACTCAGAGCTTGTTTCCTGACTCGGACACCACTGTGGTTTGACCCTAGGTCTGGCCCAGGGCTGGGTGTCTGTGATATGCATAGGAATCAGACATGGTCCTGGGAGAATCATGCTTGTCCCTCGTAGCCCTGAAAAGATAGGGCTGCCGGGGCCATTTCAGCCCCACATCTGAAGACTGGGTGGTGGTGGAGGCGGGGCTGGCGTTCAGCTCCCTTGCTTCATGGCGCTGCTCTGGCCATTTCATTCAGGTTCTAGAGAGGGACATAAAAATTTCTCTACTCAGCTGCAGCCTGGCTAATAGGTTAGATGGCTTTGGTGCCCTGGGGCCTGTTCTCTCCATCTCAGGTTTTGCTGAGAAAAGCTGGGTTCATTTATCGATGGAACCATTTTAACAGGAGTACATGTGGCCACTGTGTCAAACGGGAGAGCTGTGGCTTTAGGGCATCCAAGAGGCATGCCCTGTGGTTTGATGTTACCCTGGAGGCCCACAACAGCCCTTCTACAAGTCTCATCATTCCTCTGCCTAGCAGGGTGCACTGTCCCCTTCCCAGAGCTGAGAGCTGGGAGGAGTCACTCCAGTTGCCCTGGGGCGGGGCGGGGGGGGCAGTACCTGCTGCTATGATTACGTCTGGCCGGAAGGCAGCCAGCTCAGGGGCCGTCACAACATCCCAGTCTAGCTGGGCCACCGTCACCCTGGGGCTCTCTGTGTCGTGGGCATTATGTCCTGGGTGCCTTTCAGGGTCAGTGGTGTCTGGTTCCAATGAGAGGCCATTGAGAAGGATGTTTCCTCGGAGCTGCTCAAGAACACAGCTGTGACAGTCGCTGAAGACGTATGTGCTGGGACAGCATGTCTTGCAAATGGCCAGGCCCGTGAGGCCAGCTCCACTGCCGAGCTCTAGGACAGTCCTAGGTGGGAGAAGGGGGCCTGTGTCTGAGACCGTGTTGGGGAAAACCGGCTTCCCTGCCCTGCCCTGCCCCCCGAGGTCACCTGTGAGCAAAGGTGGCTGGGTTCTCTATGGCCCATTCAGCGAGGTAGAGTGCAGCGTCCCACGTGACCAGGCCGGTGGTACCATGGGAAACGATGGCTGTGCTCTCAGAGAGCGTGACCGAGTCTCCGGAAGGCTGGGCCGAGACAGGGAGAGAATTAATCCTGCTACCAGGAGACAAGGAGCTGATCTTAAAAAGAAAAACATCACAACAGGTGGATGGCTAGATAAGACCGTGGAACATCCTGCCACAGAATGCTACATGGCAATGGAAAGGAGCAGGTTGTCATTGTATGCGCTACCTGGATGGGTCTCGAGGGTGTTAACGCTGCACAAAGAAAGCCAATCTCAGAAGGACACACATTGTGAGATTGCATCCATCTGACCTTCTCAAAATGACAGGACTGTGGAGAGGGAGAACAGATCAGTGGCTGCCCAGGGTGGGGTTGGCAGGGGCCCGGGGACAGGGGAGGCCCGAGGGAGGTCTTTATGATAACGGAGTAGGTCAGTATCTTGATTGTGGTGGTGCCCACACGGGCCTGCACGTGTGATAAATGAGGTACACCTACACAGGCTCGGTGTATACACCGGTGTCCCTGTTGTAATGCCATACAAGTCAGGTCCCATGTTTCCAGTGGGGGAATCTGGAGAAAGGGCACCTCTCTGTACTGTTTTTGCAATTTCTGTGAATCTGTAATTATTAACAACAACAAAAAGTCACAACTCCCTGGCATCATGACCTATATGTGGAAAGTCTCAGCATGTGGGGCCTTCCTCAATTCAACCTGACATTTGGGGCTTGGGAATTCTCTGGTCTTTGAAGTTTCCTGTTGCCCTCAAAGCAGGTGGTTTGCTGGTAAGGGCTTCATGGAATATGCAGTCCTGAAATGTGTTCTCCAAAGCGGGGCTTCTGAGCATGGCACCTCCAACATGCCGTCACCCAGGGGTGGTTTCTGGCTATCTCTGAGCTCACAAAACTCATATAGGAGACTCCGGTGTCTGGAGTACTGTGAGCAGTCGTTTGTTCATTCATTCATCCACACATTTTTCCTGAGCATCTACTATGGTGCTGGGGACTCAGATGTGACAAGATGAAGTCATTCCCTGTTCTTATGGAACTTCCATGCCAATGGGGGATAAAACCATAATAAACAAAGTAATTTCTCAGTTTTCCAGGGCTATGAAGAAAATAAAAAGGACTACATGATAACAGAGAATAGGAGGTCTATTTCAGATAGATTGGTCAGAGACAGCCTCTCTGATGTGTCATGTAACCTGGGATGTGAGTATAAAGGAGAAGTGAGGCATGTGAGGTTCTAGGAGGAGAGCATTCCAGGCACAGCATGTGCAAAGGCCCTGAGGCAACATTTCAGTTGGTGAGTTCAAGGAAGACAAAGAATGCCAGGGATGTGGAGCACAGGGAGAGCAAGAGGAACGAGATGAGAAGGAAGGCTGGGGCAGAGCATGCAGGGCATGGCAGGCTACGTGAGAAACTAGGATTTGAGTCTGAGTACGAAGGGCAGCCACTGGAAGGTTCTGGGTGGTCGAGTGACATGCTCTGATTTACCTCTCAAATCAAGGGGAGCACTCTGGGGGTTCTGAGAGTGTGGTTTTGAATCTTCCTGAATCACCACATACAAACAGACAGAGCAGTGAGATATGGACAACATTCAACAAAACTAAGTGAAGCCAAAATATCAACAAGTGGGGGCAAACCATAGACACAAGACTTGTGTGCTCCATGTGTCTGTGTCATGGGGCACATGACAGGCCTGAGGACAGAACCCCAGTAGCCGAGCATTCACTGGAAATGCAGGTACCAGCTGTGAACCACGGCCCACGGAGGAGAGAACTTGCTGCTCTAGTCATCGGGGGTGTGAGGGACCAGGGGTGAGGCCTAATGGCAACTAGAAACACTCAGAAATGCTCTCCTGTAACACCCACCCATGAAGTATTTACTGAGGACTGAGCACCAGGTCTCTACTATGCAATTATGTGCATCACCTGACTTAACCCCCAGCCACCCCATAAATGAGGCACTATAATGTATTGAAATGCTTGGTTTACTGAAGGGGAAACCAAGGCTCAGGGTAGTTAACTGACCTCCTCTAAGATCTCAGAGCTGATGGGTCAGGATTTGCACCCACTTGAGGCTGACTGGAGTCTGAGTTTCAACTCTGTGTGCAGGGGTGGATGTCTGGATTGTGTGGGGAGGGTGCCCATCTCCTACCAGCAGATAGCTCCGGTGGCACTGGGTGGGCTCCTCAGCCATCAGGACCTCTGCCAATGCCTCGTACAGCTCGTCCAAAGGCTCCATGTGGACAGCCTCGTGCTGGGGGTGGGCAGAGCAAAAGCTTCAGCCAAGACATTTAAGTTGACCCTCATGAATCAAACAAAGGTTCCATGTGTTCACTTTTACTCTGACTTGTTAAAAAGGCTGGAGGATTTTTACCGATTTAGATAGGAGATTTGTGATGGATTGACTTAATACAAGCCACCTGGCATACAAAAAATTCATTTGGTAGGGAAGCTGGAGGGTATCTCAGGTATAGAGAGGGCAATGGTGAGGTATAGTCTAGGGCAGCAGAAATGGGGCTGCATGAGCTGCCATGTGACGGTGACAGAGAGCTTTGCCCTTCCATCATGATGCTGTGGATGGATCAAACAACTGGTGCTTTTAAGTGAGCCCGGGCAAAAGCCACAAGGACGGGCACTCTACATGGTACAGTTGGCTTCATCAATGGGCAAGCCTCTGTCGTGCCCTTCACAGGGGCAGCAGCAGGGCGGCCATGCTTCTGGTGGTTCTGGGGAGACCTGCAGGCCATGACTAGATGCACATGTTGGGGAGAATCAGGTGGGGAGGCAACAGAGAAGCCAGGAATGTTTCACATGCTAAGCTTGGGTGAGACATGGCCCATGCATTCAGTGGCCGATCATAGCAGGTCTGATGCTGATCACTAAGGAATCACCTCTTTGAGGTCCAGCCTAATGTGAAACCCAGCAAGTTTGGGCTCATTTTTTTTTTTACTCTTTTTTTAATGTTATGTTAATCACCATACATTATATCATTAGTTTTTGATGTAGTGTTCTATGATTCATTGTTTGCGTATAACACCCAGTGCTCCATGCAGAATGTGCCCTCCTCAATACCCATCACCAGGCCAACCCATCCTCCCACGCCCTTCCCCTCTAGAACCCTCAGTTTGTTTTTAAGAGTCCGTAAAAAAAAAAAAGAAGAAGAAGATAGCGGGGCGGGGGAAGAATGAAGGGTGGGCTCATTTTTAAAATACATCCTGTATCAGTCAGGAAAAGAGTCCACATCAGATAGCCCATTAGGGAGAAGAGGGTAAAGCGAGCTAGTTACAAAGGTATTGCAAGACCTAAAACATCCAATAGAGGGCAGTGTGGCAATCCAGAGATCGGCAATAGCAGAAGTGGGCGGGCGGGCTAGGGGAGAAAGGTTGGGGGGGGCGGCGAAGGGGGGCTGGGACCACAGAGGAAATGCAGCTGCTGCTGGAGACCTCCTGAAGCACAGAGGGAGAGATACCCTGGTCTCTCTTCCTCCTGCTCCCCCATAGCCTCTGACTGGTCGAACCCAGCTGGGAACAGTTAAACAGGGAGGCCCCTGACATATTGGGGTTTGCAGAGCAGGCAAAGGGCATAGGACAAATCGGAGCTCCAACAGGCAAAGCCAGGCACAGTCCACTTTCGGAGAGCCAGCCAAGTCCCAGGTGCTGTGTGGCTACCAGACAGTGCCCATTACTGACCTTTCTGATGAGCTCTGAGAGAAAGCACCGGACATACTTCACTGATGGCGGATGCTTCACACAGAGAGGATGTTTCACAGTCTGTGACAAAGGACGCAATGTGAGTTGCTGGAGAGACCCTGCCATCAGTCTCCCATGAGCTTCAAGTGAATACAGGGCAACCCCCATTACTTGATCCCTCAGAAAAGATGTGTACAGACACAAGGGTTCTGGGTTCAGGTGACCCTCATGCATCTGAAACAGTAAGTCTTAAGATACAATTCCTTTCCTAAAAAAATTTCTCCACTACAGTGGCAAAGGCTGACAGAACATGCTGGGTAGAACATGGATCACACGGACCCAAGCTAATGCCCTGCTACAGACTGAATGTTTGTGTCCCCCCAGTTCATATGTTGAAGTCTAAAACCCAATGTGATGGTATTAGAAGGCAAGGCCTTTGGGAGTGATTAGGTCATGAAGGTGAAGCTCCCATGAATGGGATTAGTGCCTTTATAAGAGACCCCAGAGGGTTCCCTCAGTCCTGCCACAGTGAGGACACAGCTGTCTATGAATCAAGAAGTGGGCCCCCCACCAGACACCAAATTTTGGGGAACCCTGATCTTGGCCTTCCCAGCCTCTAGAACTGTGAGAAATAAATTGCTGTTGTTTATAAGTCACCCAGTCAATAGCATTTTGTTATAGCAGCTGGAAAGTGCTCTGCCACCCCTTCCCAGGGCAGGCAGCATGAACTAGTTTTTAGTGGGGACAATTGTGGGATTGTCTGGCTCTGTGGAAAAGGTGAGAGCCCAAATAGTGGGAACAGGCAGACTGGGCACTTGCTCTCCTAGAGCTCACATGCCAGGCTGAGGATGAGTGCTAGGATGGCTGGGACAGAGGAAGATGGGGACTCTGCCTGGGATGTGGTAGAGGGGAAGGTGGCTCTCAGGGGTGGTACTTCAGCTGATGTCTAGAAAATCAAAGAGCATGGGGAGTGGGTTCCAGGCAGAGGGGATAGTTTGTGGAGGCTCTGAGGCAGGCATGGCCTGGCATTTTGGGAAGGAGGGCAAGGCAACAGGGCAGTGAGAGTGGGGCCAGGTCACGTGGAGGGACATGATTTTTTTAGTCAAGGGCAACAAAATACCCACACAACCCTTCAGGGGCTTTCTAGTTGGCTGGTGTTAGGTTTCAGCCTCAGGATGAAAATCAGAGTGGGCTGCTGCACAAGGACCTCAGAATCTCTAAGCTCACAGTCGTAAATGACTGGGTTGCCCTGCAAGCCTCCACTAGCCATGGCTGAATCTTTCCTATATGGTGGTCAGACAATCTTGGTTCACCCTCCACACAGGAATTCTTAACCTAGGCTTCTTGGATGGGCTTGGTGCTTGGAGGGCTGTCTATAACTCCCGTGAATTTGTATACAAAATGTATTCTTCTGGTCCTCCTTTTTATGGGGGTGGGGTGAGAACAGGAGAGTTTACAGCTTTGGGTTTTCAGAAGGGTTCATGATCCTCAAGAGGGTTCATAGCCAGGATGCAGTGTGATTTCCACTTGATCCACATGGCCAGGGTCAGGATGGGGCAAGGCCAGGCAGAGTGGTGGCCTTACCTCTACCCTTGCCCAGATGTACCTTAGAATTCAAACCCTACCTCAGAAAAGCAGGCATATCTACATCTAGAAGAGACATGAGTAGGCAAGACTTGCCTCCTTATTTTTTCCTTAAATGTAAATGTAAAGAAGAAAGTCTTTGAGTAGCTACCAAATGCTAGATGTTCCCATAGCTGTCATCTTGGTTTTCATTGTGGATAGTTTCAAAGAAATCTCCCAGATTCCCTCCTCTCATGCAGATTTTTGTATATTCTAATGTCTTCATCTAAGAAAACAACAGAGTCAGAGCTGCCTGAGGTGCTGCTACCCAAATGCAGTGTCTTTCTTTTTAAAGGATACAAGCGCGCCCACTGTGTTTCTGTCATGTCTTCATGGGCAAGTCAGGAGGCTGGTGATGCGACCCAGTGATTCTGATTCTTACCTTCTGCAAAATATTCAGCAGCAGCTCAGGACCTGATGAGTCCCTTAATTTCTCTTCTAGGCTCTATTCAGAGAGAGAGTGGAGGGGAGAGAGAGAGAAAAATCTCAAGGGCATTTTCACAGGAACATTAAACATGCAATAGGACATGTTAGCAAAGTGTTAAGTGATCTCTCCTCAGGGACCTGGGGCCAATTGGAAGGGGAAGCCACAGGCTGGCTGAAACCCTGAACTTGAGAAGTCCTGGGTTACACACCTCGATGAGTCAAAGAAAGAACATCAGAAGACAGACTCTTGGTTTGTGTTAGCCCTGGCTGCTTAGGCTCACCTGGGTCACAGAGCAGCTCCAAGGCTGAAATGATCAACCAGGAATTACGGGAGGAGCCATGACACTGACACCTGATGGGCTCACCTTGAACTTGACATCTTTAAAATGGACACACAGGCCAGGCAAGGTTATGCTGTCTTCTCTGACAGAGAACTCCAGCCCAGCGGTGAGGTCAGGCTCTAGAAGTAGGCATACTGGCCCTGGCTGGTGTGTGGTATCAGGCAAATCACTTCATTTCTCCAGAGTGAGTTAGGCTCTAAAAGGCCTATAAACCTTGGTCCTTGCCCCTCTCTCTGACCTTATCTGCCACCACCCCTGGCCTCCTTGTCATTCCTCAACCACAGCAGCCTATTCTCACTGGCAGGGCCTTCCCACAGCAGGCTGCTTTACTGTTCAGGTTCTGGCTCAAATGTCACCTCTTGGGGGAGGCCTTCCTGACTCCCCTACTTTGATGATACATTTCCCTGTTTTATTGACTTTACAGCCACTGTCATCTCCTGGTGTTTTCTTGCTTATTCATTTACCTGTTTATTCTCTGGCTCTCCCATCCAAGCAGGGCCTCATCTGTAATGTGTACTGCTGATTCCTGGTGCCTGGCTCATGGAAGGCATTCAGTAAATATTTGGTGATGGAATAAAAATACTAGCTAACACCCACGTCACTTACCATGAGCTAGATAGACACTGCCTCAGGTGCTTCAATCTCCTGTAATTCTGACACCAGCATCATCACTGTAGTCCCCATTTAATAAGAAAACTAAGGTATAGGAGAGATGTATTCACTTGCCCAAGGTCACACGGCTTGTATGGGGGTTGGCCAGGATTCAAAACAGGCAGGCTGGATCCCAGGCCTGAGCTCCCCCCTGCTACACTCTACTTCTTTACTAATCAAGCCATCTTTCTGGTCAAATGTGAATGGTACTAATAGTACCCCCTGCATGGCTGTTGTAGGCCAGTCTAAGTAAGCATTTATCATGGGCCTGGTACAGAGTAAGCACTCATTTCATGTGAATAATTATAGTCGATATTGAATTGGGACCCACTGATGCTATTATGAAGGTTTACATTTTGGGTTAAAAAATTACATATTCCTTTCTGACCGGAAAGATCTCTCAGAATGCTAAATGGGTTAGGTCAATGAGACACAAATGACTAACCACCACCCCTTAAGCTGGGGCAGACTTGGGGGGAGGAATATGTATCCAATCTGAGTCATCCCAATGAGCTCACCGCACATGAATTATGAAGGAGGCAGCATCATTAGAGCCCCTGCATTGGCAGAAGGAAGCTGCTGCCATGGTCATTTGCCTGTGCAGGTCTCCAGGGCAGGGGAGGTGAGACTTCTTTCGTCTCTCTTTTGGCCTGTTTTGTACCTCCCTGTCTCTTCCATCACAGGCATAAGAGCCTCAAACTGCCTCTGAGAGGATTTTGTCCAATGCTGACGGTACAGATGAGAACACCGAGGCCTGGCGGGGGAGGGAGTGTGGGTGTTTGTGATTTGGTCACTGCCCTCATTGCAACTGGTCTCCCGGTGTCCTGAGGACGTTGACTGTTTACATGCGCAGGAACAATGGCTAGAATGACAACTAGCTAAACAACAAAAGTAATGAAATTTATCGTGAATTGTCCCTGACCTAACTCCCGAGTGACAAAGGGAGTTAGGAGGAAACTCCGCATTCCTTGAATTCGTGGACTCAGTGTGCAAAGGCAGTCGAGGGCGGGAAGGGCCAGGGGAGGGAGCAGAAGGCCTAGTGCAGGCTGGGCTCCCCAAGAGCGCGCAGGTGTGCCTCCTGCTGCCCGCCGCCAGCCCGCGCGGCCCCCGGCAGAGCCCGGGGGACATGGACCCGACGCGCGGCCCGTTAGTGCGAGGGAGCCGAGAATATCGCGCGGCGGGGGGAGGGGGTCGGGCGCCGGAACCCGCCCCGCCCCCACCCCGCCACAGCCGCCCCTCGCCCGCCCTACCTCCCGCCTGCCCTACGCGCGCCCCACCGCCCACCTGCCAGGGGAAGGAGCGCAGTGTGCGCGCCGCCAGGAAGCGGCGCTCGAAACTCTGCAGCACGCTCTCGGCCTCCGCGGTCTCCTCGGGCGCCATGGCGGGGCAGGCGGGGCCGCGGCGTTGCCCGGGAGACGGGGCGGCAGAGGGGCGGGGCTGAGGCGGTGAGCGGGGGCGGGGGAGGCGGGTTGGGGGCGGTGCCAGGTACGGGGCGGTGCCTGAGGCTTGAGGGCGGAGTCAGGGCTTTGGCGCCAAGGGAGGGCAGGCGGGAGGCACCGGCTCTCTGGTAGCTTCCAGTCAGGCGAAGGGCGCGGTAATCCTTCTTTTGTTCTCGCGCCTTCACGAGGGTTTTCTCGGCGGGGTCCGAGTGGACGGACGCGTAGCCCCCTCCCTGTTGCGCTCCTGGGAGCGAAGGAGCCTGACTGCCCTCACGTTCCAAGGCTGTGTCCTCAGGCGGAGGGTTGGGGGCCGCAGGCCTTCGCCTCCCCTTCAAGTCAAGGTGCGGGTTCGCGGCTCCGGGTGGTTGGGTAGGTGGCGCGGTTAATGGGCGAGGATACGTAGGTTCTCAGACCTGACCCACCAGGGCGCCACAGGATGAGTGCAGGCCTGTGAGGTGCGCCCCCCCGCCAGAATCTTACACATTCCGCTGGAGGCCGTGGTGGGGTTTAGTCCCCTCTGCGGTCCGCGTGCTCTCCACCGCGCGGTGCCCTGTCTGGGCGGCGACCTCAAAACGGCGAGCCATGCGCTGAGGTGCGCTCCAGAGCGGGGAGGGGGCGAGGAGCTTGGCAGGGTCCGCCTGAGGTCACGTCCTCTCCATGACCTCGACACGAGGCAGGACCCCCCACTCCTCCGTCCTTCGGGTCCGCCCTTAACCCATCCAGTCTTGCCTTCACCAGACACTTATTAAGCACCTACTGCGTGCCCAGTGCTGTCAGGGCATGCAACTGTGAGGGAAACCAGGAGTGGCCCCTGAGGGTCAGGGGCTCGCGCGGGGGAGTAGGCACAGGACTAATTATCAGACAAGTATGTGTAGATGCGCCGTGCAGGTGAGCTCCCCTAACTAAGGAGGACTTACAGTAGAAGTTTGACCTTGTAGGGAAAGGAATGTGAATGGAGAGTAAGAGGGCTGCTGGGGGTGGTGGGGATGGGGAAGAAAGGGAAACAAAAATAATGATTTCCATTAGGCATTATTGTGTCTCGAGTGAAAGGCAGGATAGACAGCAACCCATGGCGCTGCCTCTGGAGTTTGAGCTGTGTTCAAAGTCTAACACGTTTACCTTAGCACATCTCTCATAAAACTCCATTTGGAAGAGTCCAGAACTAATTTGCTAAATATACTTGCAGAAGGTAGATGAGGGGGCAGATTAAATCTTATTACCCCTTTCAGATGAAAAACACTGAGCCTTGCTCAGCTATGAGAACAAGAGAGGAGAATTAATTCTAATTGAATGCATTTATTCTCATATCTCTTGTTCTAACACCAGCACCAAGTGAGCACAGGTTCCAACATAAGAATGATTTGTCTTTTATTCCCTCGACACTGTTGATTTAAATAAAGAGGGTGGACTGTGATTATTGCTGTTTTTACACAGAATTAATGGTTTCTGGGTCTGATGTTGTAGAAATCCTCTTAGTCACAATATCCTGAGGTAGAATCATCTGAGATATGACAATGAGTCTCAACCAGGGCTGAGTCTTGGTCCCAAGGGAATGATGCTTCAGAACTGGGCCAGGCGGATTGGTTCACTTTTGCTGTTTTGATCAGCTCTCTGCCTGCAATAGACAATGAAAACCAATGGGAAAGGGTCAAACTCATAAATACTAGGCTTATTCTGTTAACACGTATAATAGCTATTAATTGCTTTTTTTCTGAGAAGCAAAAGGGCATGTACAGTCAATGCCATAATAAGTAATACTGTGTGGTTTTTTAAGATATTAGTAAATCTAGGCTGGTTCAGCCTTTCCTGATGCCATAGATGGGAGGTAGATTGGGAAAGGACCCCAAGTGGGCCATAGCACTGACTTGCACACAGAAGAAACCTTTATTTTGGTGTGTGGGCTCTTGGGAGGGAGAAAGGTCATAAAGTCATACATTTCAGATCTGAATCTGGAAGAATCAAGGCACTGAAGGCATTTTTAACATCCCAGGGACCTCATAGGTGTGTGTTCAGGTATAAGTGAAGATTAGGACTGACATTTAACACAAAAACTAAAAATTTCAGGGTGTGTTTATATGAAGAGAAGCTTTAGGACACATCCCACGGCCATGCCAGCAGCAAAAGGGGATGTGTATGTGCACATGCTGTATTAAAGATTTGGCTTCTGGATTTGAGGCTTTTAATAATAATAATAATAATAACAACCACAACCACCTAATACATTTTTAACTGTATGGAATGGTTGCTTTTTAGAAATTATGCTGTGGGCATGGTAGTTTAATCAGTACCTTGAAGTTTTTCCTTTATCTCTCCTATAGCTAATGGTTTCTTTAGAAAAGGACCAATTGATTTCTTTTTAAAATGTTGCTTCAGGGTGTAGAGACCTTTATAGTCGTGTTTCAACTTATAGGAAATTTTTATAGTTCAAATATAAATTACGTTAAATGTAGCCTTTGTAATGGAGTTAAGGTTAAGTAAAGTTCTGACTTTCCTTAAGCTGTTTATAGTGTTCAGGAGGCTCCCGTTCTATTGGGATAGGAGCTATGTTAAAGCAGAAGAATGGTCAGGGTTGGGTTTAATAAGGAATGCAGGAGGCTCAGTCTAATGATGTAATTATTGAGATAGAGAAAGAGGTGCACTGGGGCTCTATAATGCTTTGATTGGTGGCAGAACCAGTGTTATGAGTTGGATTGTGTTCCCCCCACCCCGCCCTGAAAATATGTTGGAAGCCCTAACCCTTGGTACTTAGGACCTTATGGTACTGGTGACCTTATTTGGAAATAGAGTCTGCAGATATAATTAAGATGAAGTCATCCTGGCTACAGAGGGCCCTGAATATCATGACTGGTGTTCATATAAGAGAAGAGAACACCGTGTAAAGACAGAGACACAGGGAGAGGATGGTCATGTGATGATGGAGGCAGAGACTGGAATGATGCATCTATAACCAAGGAATACCAAGGATTGCCAGCAACCACCAGAAGCTAGAAGAGGCAAAGAAGGATTCTCCCCTACAGGTTTCAGAGGGAGCCTGGCCCTGCCAACACCTTGATTTTGGCCTTTTACCCTCCAGGTCTGTGAGACAATAAATATCTGTCATTTTAAGCCAGCTAGTTTGTGGTACTTTGTTACGGCACCTGTGGAAAACTAATACAATTGGTATGTCATTTGGGAGGCCCACAAAATGAAAATGCAGGGTCCTTGTTAAAAAAATCAAGAATTCTGAAATGGTGCCAGTAGATTATTAAACCAAGTTGGGGGCTCTTCTGAGCCCTGGGCCTTGAGTGATTCCTCAGGTCACAAGTCATGAACCTGGCTTTGGTTGCTGGGTTCTCAAAGTGCTGGATCCCCTTTGGCATGCAGGAAGTGGTTGAAGTGGATTATTACAATGTGCAGTGATTAACTATGGGAAACCCAAAGAACACTCACTTCTTTTTCCGATGAATGGCTGTGTATGTCACGCTAGCAACAAACAGAACTGCAAGAACTCCTGTGACAATTGCGAGACCAAACACTGTCTTTTGGAGAGCCAATGTCCTCCGTGTCTCTGCTCCTGATAAAATATCAGATGGTTTTTAATTGTCTGATTATTAAGAGGCTGTTCTGGCTGCTCCTGGGTCCCTAGGAAGTTTTTCATCCAGGCTCTGGTGGATATTAATTATGGAAATGAAATGTACATTTAACCCAAGAAAGTGCTCACTGTAGAGAAACCTTGTAGGGCAAGTCGTTGAAAGCCGATTTACTAAACGACTTATTCGCCAAATGACCCATTTTCCTAATGACCACTTTGCCAAGTGACCAATTTGCTAAAAAGCCAATTTGCTGAAAATCAGTTGGTGGGACATTTTGTTTATCAATAACTGATGACAGTCAGCCTAACCCCAGGCTCCCAATGGGCTATGGGACAGGGGAGGGGCCAAATAGTTGTAGCAAAACTCCAAACTTAAAAAAAAAAAAAGCCTCAATAATTTGGTGAATTGTCATTCATTTAATTAGATTCCTACAAAATGGCCTGCTTCCTGGGGGTTCACAAGAAGATCGTGTGCAGTAGCTTAGAAGAAGGGAAAAGGGTGTCCTTTGTACTCCGTTCTAATTGAGCATAGTTAAAACGTTTTAAGTATAATAAATAAATCACCGAGCAGCATCTAAGTCTCTCTCTGCAGAAGAAAAGCTGGCCAGTGTTTGCAAACAACTGAATTCTCAGAGATGATTGCGTTCTTCCTTTATATCATCCAGATTTAAGATTTTGAAATCTTAAGAATTAGCAACCTTATTTACAGGAACCACCTCCTTTCCCCTTTTTTCAGCAGTGAGTGGAATAGTAAGGTTTCATTCCTCCCCTGTGAGCAGCTTTCTTCTAGGCACCAGCAAGGACTGAGTTGCTGAAGGAAGGCTGCTTTTCTGTATCTAGAAGGGGCATCAAGGGACAGACTGCATGTGATTTCTGAGGATCAGAAGGATTATTGCTTGATGTTTTCTATGGAGAGCCTTCCTTTTGCCCCAAAGGCACTATATGAAATGCTGCCAACATGTGGAGGGATTCCCTACTTCCTTCTCTATCTGTTTAGAGCTGCTGCTATCTTGCCCTGGGGGCACCGAAGCTGCCAGGGAAACAGGATTATTCTGCCCCCCCCCCAATTTTGATTCTTTTCTCAGGACAGAACACACTATCAATTTTCTGTTGGTTGATTTTGTATCTCACCTGGCTGCTGGTCATAAGAGTCCACAAGCATTTCCTGGGTGACTGCCAGGGAGCCATTGTGGGGTTCAGGGGTAACCCCCAGGAGCTTACACATGAGTGGGTAGATGTGGATGCTGTCAAAAGGCTCAGCTAGGTGATTCTTCTTGAAATCTGGCCCAAAAGCTCTGAATATGGTCTTCATGTCCATGTCGGCATTATCAAAGCCATGATCTCCTTTGTTGAAATATATTATAAATCGCTGAAAAATAATAACAAAAAAGCCATTTTAGATTCCAGTCCCCTGAAAGAAAACTGTCCCTTATTGTCATGCTTGTCAGATCCATGAAATCTTTGAAAATTTAAACGACAAGGAAGGACACTGCTCTAAAGTGCCAAAGAGAAGAGCAAGGAATGAAAGATCTTTAAGAAAGAGAATAAAGAAAGCATACCCATTAGACATAGCAAGAAGATAATACTGACAATAATAATAAGCTCAGACATAGTGCCTCTGGTGATGGCCTCATGTGCTTTGCAAGCTCCTCAACTGTGAAGAGAGAAGAGTAACACCTACTTCACTGTGCACACCAAAGCAGGCAGATGGATGGGGATCTGAGAAGTGTACTCAGTGAGAGGCATTTTCTTCTGCCTTACGGTCAGTTCAGAAGGTTCCCTGTTCCCTCAAACCTGGTTGGTTATGTTGGGATTGTGACTACTGCATTAAGTCCCTTCACTTCACTCTCAACTTGTTACATCATGAACCAGGCTTACAAAGGCCAGTGACTGTAGAATCTCTCCTTGGCAAGACCTTAGCTTTGGGCAAACATCCTCAGTGTTCTGGGCCGTGTGAGTGATAGCAAAATATCAATAAATTGTTGCATTTTACTGTGACTATTTCCGCCAACATTAAACAATAACCTTAAGAGTTTTCCTATACCTGTTATACTCTGAATTTGTAGCAATACAAGAGTATACAGATTGCAGACATGATTATTAATGTTCAGCTCCTGTCCGTAGCCTAGGACAAGCATTCTTCAAGGGGATGCTCTTCTGTCATGTGATGTTTAGATATCACCTAAACTTTGTTCTGCCATGAATTATTGGTTGGTAGTTTACAAAAACCAGACCACCTTACTTACGTCTCACAATTAGCCTTGATTTTGGTATTTTCTTCTTTAGATTTGCTTATTTTTTCATAACAGCTTTGTTGAGATATAATTTGTATACCATACAATGTACCACCTAACATGCACAATTTGATGATTTTTAAATTTTTCTGAGAGTTGTGCAACTATCACCACAATCAATTTTGGAACATTCATTACCCCAAAAAGAAACCCTGTACCCTTTAGCAGTCACTCCTCATTTTCCCCTGACATCTCCCCCCCTGCTCTAGACAACCACCAATCTGTGTCCTGTCTCTATAGATTTGCCTATTCTAAACATTTCATTTAAATAGAAATTCATTTAAAAATTCATACAATATGCAGTCCTTTGTATTTAATTTCTTTCAGTGATCATAGTATTCTCAAGGTTCATTCAAGTTATAGCATGTATCAGTACTTTGTTCCTTTAATGGCAACAAAATATTCCATCGTATGGATATACCATTTTCATTTATCCATTTGTCAATTGATGGGTAATTGGGTTGTTTTCACTTCTTGGTTATTATGAATAACGCTATATGAGCATTTGTGTATAATTTTGTTTGTGAACAGGGTTGCTTATTATTATTATTATTATTATTTTTGATATATGCAAAGGGGAACCGGCAGGTTTTTTTTTTTTTTTTGGTGAATCTACTGGTGATCTGTGCATAATGATCAAGCACACAGGCTTGGGTTCAAACTTCAGCCTTACACTTCTAATCCCAAATCACTTCTCTCTATCTTTGGTTTATCCCTCATTAAAATGGGGGAGATAAGAATATCTTTAGGGGTTGGGAAAACAAAAAATGAAATAACTAATGATAAAATTTTAGTACAGCACTGGACAGTGCCTTGGTCAGGGAGGGATGTTTGTCATTATTGCATAGTGGTGACATAGGACAGGGTTGTTGGTTGGGATGTGGGGTTAGGAGTGGGGAACACTTAGGAAGCAGTGGATTACAACTTATGATTTAATTTTTTTCAGAACTGTTTCTCTCTAGAGGCTGTCCAGACCCAAGATGACTTTATTCATTTTAGAATCAACTCACCCCATTGATGTTATAACCAGAGTCGGCATACATCACGATAGGCAGGACCCGCTTGTGTTTAGCAAAATGGAAGCGTTCTGGGAATTCCTCCTTCTTGTACACATTGAGGTGAGGGTGTGCATTCTTCAGTGCTTGGTAAACGGCTTCCTCTTGCCCTGGTTTGGGCAGGAGCATCCCCATGCCACCATAGTCCACGATATCAAACTTGACCAAGTCCCTGAACTTGATGTAGTTAGTCAAGAGGATCTCAGTGACGTTGGGCTTCTTTTTTACTGTGGTCATGCCATGGTCTGATGTGATGATGACATTGAGGTGGTCGGTCAAACTGTGTCTCTCAATGGCTTCCACCAGGTACCCGATGGTTCTGTCGATTTGCTGAATAATCACCCTTCTGTTCTCCGTCTCAGGCCCAAATTTGTGTCCCATGTTATCTGGCTCTCCATAGTATAGAGTCACAAAGTCAAAGTCTTCCTTAGTGAACCAGCTCATGACAATATCGATGTTCTCCCTCCACTCTGTCTCGTTGCTGTCTGGGTGAGTGTAAGACTCCACCAGGGACCGCTGGACAGCCTCCCCTTTGTACTTCACACCTCCTCCAGGATAGTGGAATGATGCTGTCTTCTTCCCCTGCAAGCATAAGAAGAAAATTCTGTCAGGGCTGTTTCTCATATCTTTTTCATAATAAGTCAAGCCTGACCTGTTGATGTCCCTGCCCTAGTCCAGAGTCATAGAGAACATGTGAGCTGTGTTGTTTACACATCTGGCTCAGAGGTGGGATGTGGCTGTGGCCTGGCCAATCAGAGGACACTGCATCCACTGGCCACAGAAATTGGTTCAGCCTTGGGCCCATGTCCCAGTCAGAGCCAAAGAGATTTGATCTTGAGAATTTTGGGGAGGAGGAGTAAGGGCTAGAGGAAAGCTTTGGACCAGAAATCAGGTTGTTTTAACAACACACATGATTTCAAAATATTCTTAAATGATCCCCCCAGCAGAAAGGTGGCTGGTAATTTGGTAAAATTTGGTAAAATTATTAGGAAAAAAAATAATTTTATGTTTGCTCACCAATGAGTTAACAATGAGATGGACACATCTCACTAAATAAGTCCTGTTGTTGTAAAGCAGCTCCTCAGCCAGGACATGGAACATAGTAGGGACTCAATGGATTTTTCATTTAATGAATGAATGACCTACTTATTTTGGGAGCAAGTACTTTCCTTTGCCTCAGCAAAGCTATTAACTTGAAGGCTGTACTGTGACACTTCCTCTATCACCCAAGATTTGGATGTTCTGAAAAACACAAAAGTTCATTCGTTTTAGTAGAACCAAGGATGGTGTTGGTGTCACTATGTTGATTTGGTACGGAGAATAAATGACCAGGAAGAATTTGAGGATGATGGCACCTGGATTGTGGCTATTTGGTCAATACATGAGCAGAAAAGTATAACCAAGAGTAATGACAAAACTTCCAATGTACTGTTTGAGAGAGAAAAACAGGAAAGCAATTTGGAAGTTTTAGGGGATGCAGTTGGTTTTCTACCCAGATCCCCTTATTGGGCCAGTGCACTCACACTCACTTCAGCTGCTCCACGTTCTGGAAAATTACCTTCGGCCAAGTGGCCAAATCTTGCCTCACCTGGGAAGGTGTTCCATACTGCTCCTTCACTCCTAGCTGCCTATGGCCAGTGATTGACTGATGGGAGGACAAAAGACCAGCTTCCTTGCCTCAGGTTGGGATAGCATGGAGGTGCAATTCATGCTCCAGAGCTGTCTGTGGGATTAGGCTGAAGCTGGTCTCTAACTGCAACTACAACTCACTTATCTTCTTCAATCCTTGCCCTGTCAGTTTCCCTCATTCCCATCTCCTGAGAACTCTCCCTCAATGCCCTATATGCACCAAATCCCTGTCTCAGGCTCTACTTTTAGGAAACTTGAAATAAGATATAAATCTTTTTTTTTTTTTTAAAGATTTTCATTTATTTATTTGAGAGAGAGAGAGTGTGAGCACAAGCAGGCAGAGGGGCAGAGGAAGAGGGAGAAACACACTTCCCGCTGAGCAGGGAGCCCAACGTGGGGCTCAATCCCAGGACCCTGGGATCATGACCTGAGCTGAAGGCAGGCACTCAACCGATGGAGCCACCTAAGCACCCGAAGATAGAAGTCTTAATACAAAGTATTCTTTTCAAGGCTCCAGAAGCTCTGCTATCCATTGCTATAGGTGAAATATTGTGCCCTCTGCCCTCCAGCATTCATTTTCTATCATGTGATTTAGTTTTATTTTCTCTAAAGCACTTTACCCAATCTGAACTTATCTTAATATGTTTCTTTTTTACTATTTCCCTCCCTTAGAATGTGAGTTCCGTGAGATCAGGGGCTGTGTTGATTTCATTGACCACTCTTTTCCTGGGATCTAGAACAGGCCTGGCTCAGTGTAGGTGGTAATTTTTGGTTAAATACATGTTGAATGAATGCATGGATCACATCTCCTTTTGTGGGTGCAAAACCCATCCTATTCTCACTCCTGATTAACTTATGGAAATAGTTACAGAAGCTCTTTCTTTTTTGGGTTCTAACATCTTATTTGTATACTCTTCAGGCAACACATTTTCATTTCTGATAATAGAATTTCTATGGTTGCTCTAACTTGCAAATCCTCTAATATTTATTTATTGCATTTCTGATTGGCATTACTCATAATTCTCAGTTTTTAGTGGTGGTACTTTGTTTAACTTACATATAAATTGACTTTGCTCTGAAGTATGGAATTGGCTGGAGGAATAAAACTTTCAACATTTTGTAGAACATAGTTTGACTGGCTATTTTATTATCTAGAATAAGCTGACATTGACATTATGAGGGACTTAGGCAGCTCTCCATATCCAGTTGACTTCTTGATGTTTGCATGTTAAATCTCAGATGTTCTCAACTTGAAATTGTTTTCTTGTGCTGTATTCTCAACACACACCTTCTTTCAAGATATCTCAAGCTGTAGTCTTAGGAAACTGTGGTTTTTTTAAACTTTGCCCCATAGGGATTTTAAGAGTTATACTGTTCCATGAAAGAAGCTCTGGAGAGAAATTATGTTTGGGTGTGTGTATACACCAACCCCCCTCACATGACTCTGTTTATTTGGGACCTGTGATAATCAAAAGTGCTATTTTCAACAAATACTTCTTAGAAATAATCTGAGTACTTAATTGGATGCAAAAGAGTGGGTATTTACTATTCTACCCTTTAATTAGCATAATCAGTGTTTCCAGTAGCAATAGCAATTGGAAAATCGCTGGTTTTATTAGGTTCATTATTCTCCCTTAGTGTAGTGTTGCATCAATGTGCTCTTAAGTTGCTTTTTTTAAAATAAGAGTTCGTACTTCCTATAGGCAAAATCCTTGGGTTTTTTTACAGAGTCCACCAAACTCCTCAGAACTAATCATTAGAACAGAAGTTTCAGTTTGGTTTTGCATTATGTCTGATCTCTTCCTTTAGGACAGAGTGAATGTCACAAGGTGCACATGTTTTAGGAAGGCCCTCGAACATTTCATCGTGGTTGTGCTTTGGTGGGAAGTATGTATGGTTTAGGGAAAGGAGTTAGTTCCTCCTTCTAGGAAGAGATTGGGTGGAAAGAGATGGACTCCATGTATGTGAAATTCAGTAGTCAAGGTTGGTTCTGAGTGTTTTCATTGCTTTTCTGTGCTCCAGAGGAGTCACTGGATGGAAGGAGCCAGATGACCAAGATTCTATTTTCTCCCCCTCCCACACCCTTTCAGAGGTCAGATTATTATTCTTAGGACCTTTATGATGCATAATAAAGACATGGTTTCAGCCAATATTGGGATGAAATATCTTGTTATTAATGCTCTAGGCAGAAGCAGCTGGTACCATCTAGCTCACAGCTCTTCCAAGTTTGGAAGCTACTGTCTAGGAGACTTGGCTTACAGTGAAAACTATACCTGCCCTCCTCACCCTTTCTCCAAATCCTCTCCTGGTTGTAGCCTATCATGGTCCTGATACAGACTCTTGGCAGCCATGGGGATCTCACTCAGATTATCCCCTGCCATTTCACTCCTTAATAGGCTCTATAGCTCCTCCATAGAGAAGTGAAACATGCCCCTAGGTTATTACTTATTTATTATTATTTTTTATTATGTTCAGTTAGCCACTGTATAGTACATTACTAGTTTTTAATATAGTGTTCAATGATTCATTAGTTACGTATAACACCCAGTGCCCTCCTTAATACCCCCTTAATACACTTAATACCCATCACTCTGTTGCCCCTTCCCCCCACCCTGCCCCTAGGTTTTTATGGTTTTCCTGGACCTTAAAGTCATGGCTGCCTGCCTTTCTCTGAGGATTAGGACTTCTGAACTTGGTGAACCACTTCAGCCATGAATCATGTTCAGTTATCAGGCATGCTCATTTAAAATCTGAGCTTGCTGTAAATGGAGCCTCTCAGTTCATACCCTGACTGTTAGTGAAGTCTGCTGGAGTGTGGATATGTTCTTGGACTGTGAATAATGGACTCAGAGGTGGCCAGGAATCCCATCTTTTAGGCATCATCCACAGGGCATGTCAATTCTTATGTATCTTAATGGACTCTGGCAGCATTAATGTCATGGAAGGAAAACATTTTAGTCCTCTTAAAGGTAAATGCATCAATCTCCACAAAGCCCGCCTGGAAGATACTCAGAAGAAGGATGGATTTTCCCAGTGATGGATACAGGTCAGGCCACTCCCTTATAGTCCTGCCTGGTAATATAGATAGGCCCCTGAAAGGCATTTAGGGACAGTTGGTATGCTGTTACTGGGGGGCTGACCTGGGGCCACAGGTTTGCTCTGATTGCAGCAGCTTTCCTGCCAACTCCTCGAGGACCTGGCCAATGGCCCTGTCCCATGGCAGGAGATGTCAATGGTAGAATGAGATATACCAGCTTGACTTTCACTTGCCAAACTCATGGCATGTTGTCAGTCGTCGGGCCCTCCACCAGATCCTGTTTTTGCACAACCACATAGGAATTCAGCAAAGAGGAAGAACACTCTGATTATGAATTGAGCAGAAGGAGACAATGTCTTGAAAATAAATGGCAATGAGACAAGAACCATGAATAAGAAAAACTATAGGAAAGAATGCTACCAGAAGCTTCATGCCAATGAACAAATACCATAGCAAGAGACTAGAGAGGCCCTGGGTTTTGAACAGTGAATTAATGAAGACTGCCTAGACCTCCCTAGCAGCAAGGCAAATACGTGATTCATTATGAAATCCACGGTTGAATGTTTTGGCCAAGGAACTAATATTATGTTATGGTTAAGAGTTAAGAGTTGCTGAACCCAGAGTGAGTTCAAATCTTAGCTTTGCCTCTTGCTAGCTTTGTGACTTTTGAAAAGTTATGGCACCGCTCTGTTAAGTGGGCATGATTATAACACCTACCTAAGAACTGTTATAAATTAATAAATGTAAAGCACTTAAATCAGTACTGGGCACATAGAAGGTGTTATGAATGGTATTTTCTTGGCGGGACAGAATTTATTTGCATGGTCTTTGCCCCAAAGTTAAAAAAATGTGATGGAGGAAGGAATCTAGAGCCCAACAGTTAAGGGAAAAATGAAGCTGAGGTAGAGTCATTGACAACCCCTTGTGATTCATTTAGAGCTATGTTGTCCAATATAGTAGCCCTTAACCACATGTGGTATTTAGATTTAAATTGAAATTAATAAAAATTAAACGCAGTTGGGCGCCTGGGTGGCTCAGTCAATTAAGCGTCTGCCTTCAGCCCAGGTCATGATCCCGTGGTCCTGGGATCCAGTCCCGCATCGGGCTCCCTACTTAGGGTGGAGCCTGCTTCTCCCTCTGCCTCTGCTGCTCCCCCTGCTTGTTCTCTCTCTCGCAAAAATAAATAAAATCTTAAAAAAAATTAAATGCAATTAAAAATTTGGTTCCTCAGTCTCACTAGTCACATTTCAAGGGCTCAGTAACCACATGTGGCTAGTGGCTTCCATGTTGAACAGTGCACAGTAGAACATGTCTATCATCAAAGAAAGTTCCATTGGATAGTTCTGGCTTAGAGCTGTAGTGACCAACTGAAGTGCTAAAATGATTCAGACTCCTTTAATGACTAATAGTTTTTGAACATTTAGTTTTCAGCATGTTACATGCATTATCTCAGTTAAACTTCCCAATGGGCTTAAGAAGCAGAGACTCTGATAAACTTCATTTTATGGGTGCGGCAAATCAGGCACAGGACGGAGGGTTTTGCCCAAGGTCACGCAGCTGGAGAAAGGTGGAGCTGGCCAGATCTTGCTCCAGGAGTCTAAGTCCACAGCCTGCATGCTGAGCTGCAACAGTATCACCTTGTAGCATGACATGCCCAGTGTATGTTGGAGCACAGAGATGAAGCTCCAGTGCCAAGGGATCTTTGGAGCAAAGGTTGGTGCCTTGGGGAAGACGAGGAAGAGGTTCTACTCCAAAGTGATGACTGTGGGAGCTAATTAGGAAAATACAAAGCTGACAGCAGTTTTGGGGCTAGGACTTAAACATGCAGCTCTGATTTCTGCCTTTTTGAAGGAATAGTAAGTGGCCACTGGAATCCTTTCAAGTGAATGTTCTCAGAGCTTTTCATGGTCTGAAGATTCATTAAATGGTCAACTTCATTCTTAAGGGCTTTTATGGTTAAGTCTGAGGCAAGTGTATAAACAGATATTTATGAAAGAGCTGCTGAGTTCAGACCCTATGGTAAGCCCTGGAGGTGCAATCATGATTAAGCCAGACTCTGCCCTCATAGAGACTCATCCATCGATAATGGCTAAATGCGTATTTTGTTTAATACTTACATCAAATCTATTAAATAAGCACATCATCATTATTCCCATTACTCAAGGTCACAGCTCCTAACCCCCATCCTACATGCTTAGGAATGAGAGGCGATGTCCCTGGAAGCCAACCCAGGGTTTCTGATAGTACCTGTCTCTGGGCTGTGATCCAGAGGGGGAGAACACCATTGTCCCACCACTCAGTCTTGTTCTGTGTCGTTTTGTGGGAGAACTTCCATTGTGTCTCTGTATTAAACATCATGTTGTGAATGACTCCGTGATCTTCAATCCAGCGACCTTGGGAATGAAGGAGGGAAGGTACTGATAAGTTCTACAAATGGATACTGCCAGGGTATCAAAGTGATCTTAAGACCTCCCCCAATATTCTTCTGGTTGGCCTATTTCTTCTGGGGGATTTTTGCTCCAGGTGGCTACCCTGGGGCTTCAGACTTGGTTTTCTGGAGGTACAAACGTTGGTAGGCATAAAGGAAGGGCTAATTTCTTCTCACAACAGCCAAATTGGATCTGCTCCCTGGAACAGACCTCACAGTCCTGGAGGAAGCTGGGATTGGCTGTGGAACCTGATGTGGGAGGGAAGGCAGGGCATGGGGAGGCCAGATTACTTGGGCTATTCTGTGTCCAGAAGGTAAGAGCCTGGAATTTGGATATTTCCTGTGGGATGACTTTCCTTATCTTCTGCTTGTGATGATCTGATTCAATATTGAATATCCAGTGGGCCCAATTCTTGGCAAACATCCCAGGGTTTTTCCTAGGACTTTCATGCTGCTTGAGGAAAACAATGGAATCAGGAAGGATTTCTAGACATACATGGGTATAGACTTATTTCTCTCTACTTAAAGAAGGAAGGCAGATGTTGGAAAATGTGATTAAGCTAGATTATTCTTGAAAACATAAGAATTGAACTAGTATAGAAAAAACCTGTGATCTTATATTGTACCAGGGAAAAGGGGATGCATGTTGGGGGGCAGTCTAAAGAGTGAACCAAAAGATCCAAGGGGATAGCTGAGTACACTTCCTTACCTGCTGGGACAGAATCCTCTGGGTGACCCTACTGATTATAATAAGATAGTGATGATTTCTCCTATTTCCAAGTTAAATCAAGGCAAGACATTCTGTGACTAGAACTTGATGGTCATGGGAACCAAGAAGGGAAAGCTCTCCACTGGCTCAGAGTCATTGCCAGGCTGCTGGTGGGTAAAGCCCCCCTAGGATGGCCAAGGCTTTCAGCTGGGAAGAAGCAAAAACAGTTGTTGCTTTATTGTTTCTGCCTTGTAGGTAGACCATGCTTAGGGGCACTGGAAAGAAGTTGTGCTGCTGTCAGGGATTGGGGCTTTGGGGTCAAGATTCCTGGTCAGGGATCAAATTAGATGGTCAACAGGGGAAGAGCATGGACCTAGAGTCCAAGAGAGCTGGGTACCAACCCCGACTTGGCTTTTGAACATGCTATGTGAACTTGAATAAGCCCTTAACCTGCCTGGCCTTGGTTGCCTGAACAATAGCAGGTATGGGTTGTGTGATGAAATCATGGCACATATTTACTGTCATGTCCTAAGCCAACACCTTTCCTAAGTTTTTAGGGACATTAACTCATCTAATACTCCCAACAACCCTGCAAGGTGGCTACTATTACAGCCCCTCTTTTAGAGATTTCCCCCTTTAAGGAAACAGGCACAGAGTTTGCTCAGGATCATGTAGCAGAATTGGGCTTTGAACCCCAGGAGGCTTGGTTACAACCCATGCTTCTTTTTAAATAAGTAAAATTCACATAACATAAAATTAACCATTAACATTTTAAAGTGTACAATTCAGTAGCATTTAGTATAGTCACAGTGTTGTACAATAATCACCTCTTTTTAGTTCCAGGGCATGTTCATCACCCCAAAAGGAGTCTGAACCCATTAGCAGTCACTCCCCAGTCCTCCATTCCCTCATCCCCTACTGGCCTCTAGTCTTCTTTCTGTCTCTATAGTTTTACCTGTTCTGGACATTTCATAGAAATGAAATCTCACAATATGTGACCTTTTGTGTCTGGTTTCTTTTACTTAGCTTCATGTTTTCCAGGTTCATCCATGTTGTAGCTTGTATCTGTACTTGATTGCTTTTTATGGCTGAATAATATCCCATTGTATGAATAGACCAGAATTTGTTTATCCATCCATCAGTTGGTGGACATTTAGGTTGTTTCTAGGTTGTTGGGCTATTGTGAATAATGCTATGAGCATTCATGTATAAGTGTCAGTTTTCAATTCTTTTGGGTATACATCTGAGAGTAGAATTGCTGGGTCATATGATGAATCTATATTTAACTTTTTGAGGAACCGCCAGACTATTTTCCATAGTGGCTGTGCCGTTTTACATTCCCACCAGCAGCGTCCAGGAGTTCCATTTTCTCTATGTCCTCACCAACACTTGTTATCTTCCTGTTTTTGATTATGGTCAACCTAGTGGATGTACAGTGATAGCTCATTGGGTTTGACATGCATTTCCCGAATGACTGATGGTATTGAGCATTACAGGCTGGGGTCTTAATCTCTCTGTTATACTGTATGTCAGGGGGCAGGGCCGTCAAATACCACAACTGAGAGTACTTTGTTACGAGTAGGTGGGGGTGAAGTGGGCAAGAAGTTTTCAAGCCTCACGATTGAGTAATGGAAGCCTTTTGAAATCTACAACAAATTGTTTCCTTGTTATAGTGTCTGAGCTTTCTCATGGCTGAGCCATGCCATATCACAGTAGATGAAATGGAAGCACAGAGACAATTCACCCAGGGGTAGCTTGCTTTTGCCTTGTTTTTGTCCACCCCCACCCCGCCCCGCAAATCCTGGATTCTGTTCTATGTGACTCTTCCTGCCCACTAAAGATCAAATCACCCTGGAATTACAAAAACCTGGCACTTCACCTAGTCTAGTATTTATCCATACCACCAACATTAGAATCAATTGAACTGCTTGTTAAAAAACACAAATTCCCGGGGCGCCTGGGTGGCTCAGTGGGTTAAGCGTCTGCCTTCGGCTCAGGTCATGATCCCAGAGTCCTGGGATTGAGCCCTGAGTCGGGCTTCCTGCTCAGCAGAGAGTCTGCTTCTCCCTTTGCCCGTTCCTCCTGTTCGTGCCTCTCTCTCTCTCTCAAATAAATTAAAAAAAAAAAAAAAGCAACCAAACAAAAAACCCTCACAAATTCCCTGGTCTCCACTCTAGCCCTTGCTGAATCCACACCTCTAGGGTGGGGTCTGGGAGCCTGCATTTTCATAAGCTCTCCAGGTGGTTCTAGTGCCCACAGACATGTCCCACTGACATGTCAGAACCACTGTTTCAGGGGCTGTTAGTCATTCACACATGCATGTGGATTAGTTCTAGCAGATTGCCCATTACTCCAAAATCTGGGTTGATAGCAACTCCCCTGAGGGACCAAAGGGAGGACAGACAGCTGTCAAAACCTGGAGTACTCCACTATCTGGGGAAGCTTGGGGGCCCAAAGCCACTGGGAGGATTTGGAGGAGGGATTGGAAGAAGCAGAGGATGCCACAGACACAGAAACTTAACCCTCCTGGACCTTAATGATTCTGGCTTCCAGACTCTGGGACACAGAGGTCAATTATAATATTAGTTAAGTAGACGAACCTGGGAACCAATCATAGAATCCATTTTCCCCTCAAAGAGATGTTACCCAAGTTTTAAACACCTAACCTTAAATGAGTTCATGGGGCATGACCCTTCTATTCTGTGGCATGGCTAGTCCCAGTAATTGCACAAAGGAAACTCTCCATGGTTTTGGGTTATTTCCACCCAGACACTTAAAGGCACGTTCTAAATCCAGCCAGCAGCTAGGGACCACTAATGACCCAGCAGAAATTTCCACTGCCCCTTTGGTTCCTGCTTCCTGCTGCTCAAGGCTCTTTATCCTGGTTAAGGGCCAGTTCTGGAATGTGGGCAGAACAAGACAGAGGAGGGAAAAAGCTAAGAAAGGAACAGCTGCAGGGAGTGGCAATCAGTTTTACTAAAATTGCATTTTCAACTCTGGAGACAATCAGGGACGGGGCTGGAAAAGCTACGTGAAGGCAACACTGTTGACCATGCCTGGAGTTCCAGTACCTGCAAAGGAACTGGTTTCACTTGGGTCAGATGACGCTGTCCTCACTACAGTATGATGCTACAGAAGGGGGGCTGCTCTCAGAGGCGAGACATCTGGTTTTGGTTTTGGCTTTTGTAAGCATTTGCTCTCTCTCTCTGGGACTCAGTTTTCTCCTCTGTAAAATGAGAGGGTTAATGATTTCCAAGGGCCTTTCTGGCTTTATCCATTCTGAGAGTCTGTCATCCATGTCATTTCAATGTCTGTGATGTGGGTAATTATGCAAGTTAAACAGGAAGTAGGATGAGCTCTCCTAGAGAACGTGATTCCTGCTGCTTGCTAATTATGCTTTTATCAGGGTACAATGCATACACCCACACCATGCCAGTTATGGCAAGGTGTGGGTAAATTCACCCAACCAAGCCTTTCAAGTGTGGGAACCAACCCAGCTAGATTTGACTTCTTTCTCTTGATTCTCAGAGACTGACATTTATTTATTTCCCAAATACTTCAGGGTGAATTTAGGAAACCATCAATTCCAGTGTTTGATCCAAATCCTCTCTTTCTCAGACATTTTGAGCCAAGTATTATCCTTGATTGTCCCATGGCATTTACAGCTTAGGGGACAGGGGAGAGAGAGTTAAAAAGAGAGAGAGAGAGCATGTTCTGGGGTGCCTGCAATGCTCACAGGCACCTTCTCTTAGATTGCCCTACTTACAGGCCTTGCTGAGAGGCAGGTCTAGGCACCATATTTGTAACATGTGGCATCTCCTCCCCACATTCAGTTGGTTGGTGAGAAACCCAATTCTCTCTCTCAAGACTTAAACCAAGAGATGTAGTAACTAGTCTACTGGTTGTGGGCTCCGAGCAGCCTACCATGATGGGCCTTGGGCAAAAAGAGAAAGCTGGTTGTGAGTGAGTGAAGCAGAGACAGGAGAGTTCCTGGGGCTGATTAGAAGAACACTGGGCTTTTGAGAGCCAGATACATAAGGTCTGGTTTCTCTAAATCCATTTTCCATTTTCTCTGATTGTCTCTCATTTGGTTCCCTTGCCTGACTTTGCCTGTTAGAGCCTTGCAGGGCAGTCCTTTCCCTTGTGCTAGTGTGAAAGTATTTCTGTGTTTTATGGCTGTTTTTCCCCGACATAACTGGTGATCAATGCTCCAATAGATGCTGAACAAAGTGCAGTGGGAACACAGAAAAGAGGGG